TAAACCCTTAACCCTAAAGTGTTTGAGGGATTCTAGAGGGAAACAGTCTCTAAACCCTATAAACCCTAAACCGTTTGGGGTTTAGGGTTTAGGGTTTATGTGCCCTCTTTCAGGAAGAACTCCACCGGAATTTCTGGCCGCTTCTTCAACGCCCTGGGACGCTCGAAGGTGGTCTATCCTGTTGAAACTTCCGCTTGACACATTAGCGTTCAGGGTTTAGGGTTTCGCCAATAGCTTTTCTGAGTGTTTAGGGCTTTGGGGGTTTAGGGCTTAGGGTTCACTGCTTTTGCTGCTGCTGCTGCTGCTGGCGCTAGGCGTATTGTCGCGGTGCCGTCATTGCTGGCTGACATGTACCCCGCCTGAGCAATCGCTGACACAGAAGCCCTGCACCTTCAGAGGTGAACATCGTGGCCATCGCCCAGGGCTCCTCCGAAAGAAATATCTCTGCCGTGGTCAGCCGGAAGCTTTACTGGAATGTTGTGGGGCCAAACCGATCCTATAAAGGAGCCCTTTATGGGCTCCTAGGGGGTGTTTAAGAACTAGCGTTGGTAGGAGAGCGGTTCTGTGCGGTCACGTCTAGAAGCTCGGCCCAGACATATGGGCAGAAGAATGCAGACCTGCTGTGTTTCAACAAGAGGGAACCTGTTCGTGACACTGGAATGGCTGGTGTGGCTCGGCTTTTTCGCCTAAACGGACAATCATGGGGAAGGTTGTGAAAGAGCTCGGTGCAAGTATGGCAGCGCTGCAGCAAGCTTCCTCTGTACATGCGCACTTGAAAGCTACCCGAAGCTATCAAAGACCCGCATCGGAAAGTCCAAAGTTCCTGGAACATCAGAGCCGAAGATAGCACGCCTGAAACCCGGAAGCATTCGATCTGCTCAGGGAGGACCTTTCGCTTGCCTTGCGTGCCACGCACGATGCCTTTTTGATGAAGGAGTCAACGATCTCTGTGAGCCCGGCAGCTGCACATGATTGGTTTTAGGGTTCAGGCCGGGTTTAATACAGGGGCCTAGATATTTACCTATACTATTTGGGCTCTCATTAAAATTATAGTATACTGGGCCCCCCAAACCCTATTGAAACTATTCAGGATTCTACATAAAAGTTCATATCAGATCCCTGAATGATCTGCAGACAGTCTTTTGGGGCCACAAGATTCGGACCCCGATCATGCTCCTTTTTTAGGGGAGCTGGGCTAAGTACCCAGGGAAATACAGTACCTTACTCGTTTTGTATTTTCGGTACAAGCAGGCCCTACAGTAGTCCAATTATGGAGGCTTTGAGTGTTCTAAGCCCTACATAGAGGCCCGAGAAGTATAACAACCGTTTCCAGTCCCAGAGGAGCAGTTGCCTAAACCAGGTCACTGTACCGAGCTTACACGATGTCGCCCGAGGTCATCCGGACAGCAACATGCTTTCGGTAACAGGGTTTCGCTGATGTGTCAGCCTCAAACTCGGAGTTGAGACCTTTGCGAAGTTTAGGGTTTAGGGTTTAGGGTGACGCTGGATGCAAAAGGGCTTAGGGTGACGAGCGCTCGGTTTGGGGTTGAAGCACCGAACTCTTCGTTATGTGTTTTTCGACGTATTTTGCAGCGAAGGGCCCATGGGCTTCCGGGCTTTGAACCCTGAAGAAAACGGTATAAGAATTTGGCAAGATTCAGGTGTCGTGGGCGGCGGAGAGATTGGAACCGCCTTTGTTCGCCAGCTGGTGCTTGGGTTGTGCATCTAGCAGTGGGGTTTGGATCCAGCATGTGTTGGTATACTGAGCTGTCTACTGCCCTTTTTTGCTGCACTTCACTCAAAGTGCCATGCGTGGCACAGGATTTGAGTCGTACAGTTTGATTGTTGACCGCCTGTTTGGAGTTCATGCCGTGCATGTCACGGACACACTGGCCACACATGCGGCGGTTGCTAGGAGTCTTGGTTGGACTAGGGATTCCCTAAACCCAAAACCCTAAACCCTAAAACCCTAAACAGATGGGAGCGTTCATGTTGAAACTGCCAGACCCCGCCAACCACCAGTACTAACACTTGAGCCACGTCCGTAGTCTTGCTACTCCTATTACTCCTCCCCCCTCCCCCTCCTCTCCAGCCACTGCGAATGGTAGTACTATCGGTGCTGCTGGTGCCAAGAAGAAGGAAACACTAGTTTGTCAACACTTAATATAGAGGCCTAAATAAGTACCTGTAATATTTTTATGGATTCCTTCTTATTCTAGTTATAGTATAATGGGCCCCAAAACCCTATTCTAATTCTTAAGGCGGCCCTTACATTATTACATTATTGCCTGCCCTGGATGATTTGCGGGGGGGGGGGGGGGGGGGGAGGTCCTATCGCTTTACTTGGATCTGGTCGACTTTTTCTGTGGGGTATCGCTTTACTCCTGTCAGGTTCGTTTTAGTAGCAGTATGAGTAGTAAAGCAAAAGTACAAATGCCTATATTGGTCATCGTAACGGTAGTGATCTCACTACTATAGTAGTGAGATGGACAGTAGCTAAGATGATTCTGTCAGATGGGACAATGGCTCATAAAACGATCTGGTTGGGTATCGATTAGAGCATCGATTGCCTAGCCACATATTCCACAACAACCCTGCTCTTAACTACAAGTACGGAAGTTTTGATGGATTCTCGATAATATATTAGTAATACGACGACGATGACTTCCATTGCTACTATGAAACCCCAAGCCTAAGGCAATAAATCTCAAATCCCTCCCTGAGCGACAATAAGCCCCAACCTTAAAACCCAACTCCAATCCTACAGTAAACCCTAAAGGGTTTTTGGGGTTTTTAGGGTTCCTCTTAACACCCCAACCCGAATAAAAGCCCGAAAACAGAACCACGGAAGGTACGTTGGAGCACTGACGAGGGACGAGACTTCGCTCTTCCTTCACTGAGGGAGGTCCAGCACCCCCGGCTGCAGTTGGTTTAGGGTTTAGGGTTTAGGGTCTAGGGTTCAGGGTTTAGGGTTTAGGGTCTAGGGTTTAGGGTTTAGGGTCGCGGGTGACATTGGCCGGGCGAGCTCCAATCAAGCCTGTGTAAAAAGAGTCGCGGGTTTAGAGTTTAGGGTCTAGGGTTTAGGGTTTGGAGTTTAGGGTTTAAAACCCTAAACCCTAAACCCTAAACCCTAATTTAGGGGAACGCAATGTCGCAAACTATTATAAGAGGGGCCTTAAGGGTTTGAGGGTTCCTTTAAAAGAGTTCCTTAAACGGCTACTATAAGGGTTTCGGGTTTTGGGGTGCCTTACTAGTTAGGATCGGGTTTGCGGGTATCTTATACTATAAATATAATAAGGAGCCCCCCCCCAAAAAAAACCCTATCCTAATTGCTGAGGCCCCTAGATTAGTGTTCGGAAGAACGAATTGAAACAAAAGCATTCTGCTATGGTTATAGCCCCTATTGGCTACCTCTTAACTTAACATATCCCAGAAATCCACATTCTAAGAAAGAAAGGCCACTAGACTATACTAGAACTTCGAACCCTAAACCCTAAATCCTAAACCCTGGAACTCGACCTAGTCAGCGAAGCGGGTGGGAAAAAAAAACCCTGGAACTTCGCGATATATTTAGAGGGTCAGGGTTCCGCGGCCTGGGTTAAAGCAGAGCCACAGAGGGGGTTCAAATGGATGTAGTGGAAATTCAGCTAAAAAAAAGGTGCCTAAATAATTACCAATACTATTTTGGGGGTTCCTTATTATAATTATAGTAGTATTATGGGCCCAGAACCCTATTCTAACTATTAAGGCCCCTATTTTACTCTCGAGGCTTCGTCGGCTCATACGAATATGGTTAGGATATGGGGCCTTCAAAGAGTCAAGAAGCTTCCAAGATGCGAGGACCCTTGTCTTGACCCTAAACCGCAAGATCTGTGGGTTTAGGGTTTGGGTTTAGGGTTTAGGGATGGCTCCTCTTTGCTGTAACACGCCGAGTCCCTGGCCTGAGGTACATCAACATCGACCTCCGCTCCTTCTGCGATTCCAACAAGATGCTCGCCTGAGAGTTCGGTTTGCCTGCACCCTGTTGTTGTAGAACTTGCGCGAAACGATTCACCCCAAATATATCCTAACCCCGAAACCTGGGGCTCCAAATAGCCCAAAGTAGGAACTATTTACAGACTTTAGGCCCCAAGTAGGTACTATTTGTATACTTGGAGCCTTGGGGGAAGGCCGTATCTATCTTACCCTTGCTTGGAGGATGCTTCTCGCGCAGAAAGGGCTGCCTCTGACGAAACTCCAGGAGAACATCACGAACGGAGCCTGAGCAGAATTCACTTAGGGTTCAGGGTTCAAAAAAAGGGTTTAGGCTTTAGGGTCTCGAGCTGGCTTCCGGATGTCCTGCTCAAGCCCGAAGCCCTGAGCCATGGCACCGGGCAGCGCAAAACCCTAAACCCTAAACCCTGCAAAGTCCACAGCATGGATGTTTGATCTCTGGGAGGTTAAAGCTCTTCTGTCGTGCTGTATAGGGATCCGTGTAAAGGGGTCTACAATAGGGCTACTATAAGGGATCTCTACTAGGGATACTGTAAGGGATTTATATGAGGGTTACTATAAGGAGTCTGTAATAGGGTTACTATAAGGGATCTACAAGAGGGTTAATAAAAATGGGATCTGTAAAAGGGTTATTGTATGGGATCTGCAATAGTGTTACTATAAGGGATCTTTACTAGAGATCCGTATATGGAGCTTCTATAAGGGGCGTATCATAGGGTTACTATAAGGGATCTACGATAGGGCTACTGTCAGGGATCTATATCATAGGATTACTGTAAGGGATCCATAATAGAGGGGCCATGAGCACTACACACCTGGCCCAAGGAAGTGTTGGCGAGGGGATTGCGATGCAAACGACAAGAAATTCACTGCCTGTTGTTGCCATCTTCGCCACCACAGTCTATCCCCATAACTTATGACCATCATCTTCGTGTGTTTCGTCGTCTTCGTTGCCGCCGCATGCGCATCTGCAGGGATGCAGTGTTTCTATTGGTTCTTTTCGGTATGACTTCGTCATCAAATCTCGACCATCTTGCCGTCATGCTTTGGGAGACCTCCTCGGAAGATCATGCCAGGTTGTGGCAGAAATCGAGTATGCCTGTCCCAGCTTCTCCCCTCCTCTCTCCCTGTGTCACCGATCTCGCACCCAAAGCCCCAAATGCAAATCTTAATCCCAAAACCCTCTATAAACCCTACATCAACCCTAAACCCCTCCTATCAATCCATCCAGCTCGCTGCCTCATTCCTACGATTAAATCTCGCAAACCCCTGATGAATAAACCCCGTTTCCTCAAAGTCTCATAACAGTTTGATCCTTGGTACAATCTTTTGTCAAGGGAGCCCTGCTAATCAGCCGGGGTGTAATGAAGGGGCTTAAATAATTACCAATACTATTTTGCGGCTTCCTTATTAGATTCATAGTATAATGGATCCCAAAACCCCGTTCTAATCATGATGGCCCCTTCCTGGGTAGTTCTCTAAATTAGGGTCCCTCTACTAGGTCCCCAATATAGTACGGCACCCTTATAAAAAGCACCCCCAAAAGGGACCCTAATTCAGAAAACTACCCATATAACAATAGGATTGGACATCTGTTGGGCAATTCTCCGGGTTCGACCTTCAGCTTCCCCGGCCCCGTGCGTGCTCTCATTGGCTGTATCTGCTTCTGAAGTAGAAGCGGTTTAGGGTTTAGGGTTTAGGGCTCCTGGCATATGCGTAGTCCAGGTGTAAAAAGGGAAACCCTAAACCCTAAACTCTGCAACCAGAAGGGCGGCGGAGCGCTTCAGGGTGTTAGGGCTGGCAGCTTTAGGAGTTTTAGGGCGTAGGACCCTGAACCCGGAACTCTCGCAAAGCCTAGAAGTCGAACAGCCGCATGGGAACTTCGTTCAGGAGTCTTCAACTTGAAAGACATGGCAGACGAGTGGGAGAAGTCAGGCAGTCAAGTTTGTACTGCCTTTTCTGAACAAGCCGGGGTGGGTTTGTCTTGAGTGGCAAGCTTCTGAGTTTTCGAGGTCGCTGGATGCAGTGCGTTTCCTGTAGGAGGCTCGTCGTTCATCCGTCTTGCGCAGCGGAGGAAGAGTATACTCTAGGTAGTTATGATAAGCCAGTTTTGCATGCGGTTCTACCCGGTTCCTCTCAATGGGTTGTAGCCGCTAGCCCCTGTGTTCTCAGAAAGCGTTGCTTCCTATTGGAGGTGCCATCACCATCATGTGAGAGTCCTCTGTAGCAAGCGCATGCTGGGGGGTTGGTTTATCATGTTGTAAGGCTTCAACAGTTGTCATACTATGCCAGGCTTAACAAAGGATCGGGGTCTTACTCCTGTCCTCTTTTCCAGCACGAAAGGCATTCAGGTGAACACAAACCATGACTCGTGTCAGAACGGAAGAAAGCGAAAGCCCAACATCGCACCTTGCACATGCCTCGGCGCAACCCTAAACCCTCTACCCTAAACCACATTCGCAGGCAAAGCGGTAAGTGATGCCCTGTCTGCGGGAGTTGAGATGGCGGACACAGACGCCTGGTCTTCTTGCCCGATGGGGTCAGAACACAACCCTAAACCCTAAACCCTAAACTCACTTTCATACTCAGCCTGAAGGCTCTGAGAACTGATACAGAAAAATCGACCTCAAATTCGAAATCTTAAGCCCGAGAGGACCGTGAAAGTAGATCCCTTAATGTGGGACCCTATACTACTCAGGGGTACTTTATAGGAACATGAAATGCTGAGCCCGAAACCACAAACCCGATAAACCCAGACCTCAGAGCTTCCAGAGTCAACCAGGCGAGAGGCTGAATAATCAATAGGTAGAAAACAAATCAAAACAACCAGGGTTTAGCATTAGGGTTGGGGTGCAGGGCTAGTCAACCCTAAACCCTAAACCATTTAGGGTTTGTTTATGCATAGGTTTCGGATTTAGAGGGCGTTACGGGTTTCACTTCGTGTTTAACGTTTAGCCCTACACCAAATACCCACCACCTCCCCTTAACTCTGAACCCCTCCTGCTGGAAACGAACTTTGAACGAACAAGCTTCAAGTCGCGAGCTGGACCCTAGAAGCCCTGTGGACCCTTAAGCAACCCTAAACCCTAAACCCCTAAACCCTAAACCCCTAAAGCCTAAACCCCTAAACCCCTAGACCCCAGACCCCTAAACCCTCAAGCCCTGAACCCCGAAAGCCCAAAACCCTACATAAACCTGTGGGCCCTAGAGTTGGTTTTAAGGGTTTAGGGTTTAGGAAAGGTTTAGGGTTTAGGGTTTAGGGGACTGAGTCCGTGAGAGAGAGAGAGGGTTTAGGAAAGCCCCAAATCCCTACAGAAACCTGAGCCCAGGACCTGGAGCATTTCATCCAGTTCACGGAGTCCAAGGAGTACCCGCATAAGGCGAGGAAAACCCTAAACCCTAAACCGTGAGTCTTCAGAGCTTTCTTAAGCCCTGGGGCTCCAAATAGCCCAAAAGTAGGAACTATTTACAGGCTTTAGAGTCCAAAGTAGGTACTATTTGTATACT